TCAGCGGGTTTAAGATTTACATTGTGTGCTATCGCCAAGCTCCTTTTACATTATAAAATATACGGATAAATTAAGCGTGTTTGGGTTAGACGATTCTGCTTTATTTCGAAAATAACTAATTGGATTTTGTTTGTAGTACATTATCTCTGCCAATATTATCCTAAGATATTAGCTTATATTTATGTAAGATACGTACATGATGCGAAGCTGTTTAGAAATGCACAAATATTTAAATTATTAACGAACTATCGCCGAAAAGGGATTAGAGCACAGAAAGATTATTCGGATTATGAGTTAACTATAATAATTTAAAATTTTAGAGGGAAACTACGTTTCACCCGATTGGAATAATGGGATTTGCGGTCTCTAGCGTAAGGTTGCATTTTGCCATTACGGATTAAAGTTGCTCTAAATCTTTCCCGCAGTATTTTACCAGAAGCGCTATTATCTTTATCTGTAGTAAAACACGATTTCAAAAGTTCCACCTTCGACCATCTCACTTTTACGGAAAAATATACGTATTTGCTATTTCTCTCTTTAAAAATTTCTTGGTAATAGTGTTAGTTATATATATTCAGGCAAATAACAATTTTATTGAGTAAATTGGACAGAGAACAATGTCATTATAATAAATTATAACATGCCTAATAAAAACAATCGAAATAGAAATCGGGCTCTTTCCTAAAAGTTTTTGCGTAAACTTCAGAGCAGAGAAAAGGTTTCAGATAAAAATTATTAAGGAAGTTTACACAACTACTTGTAAAATGATAAATAAAAGAACTTTAATGTAATAAAAATTGCAATGAAATATCCACATCTCTTTGGAATCAATTTTATAAAACAAATATATGCAACACTTTATTTTTCAAAACTATTCCGAATTCCTGTTACGTTATTGATTAATATATAAATTTCAGTTTTCTTGTTTTCTAATTAACATATTAAAAATAGTATCTCATCTGGAAATACATTTTAATTTTGAAGTTGTTAACTTTTTGTTGTCAAATCTCATAAACCTTCGGTTATTTTTTACAAAACTTTCTTTCAACATTTTTCAGATATCTGCCACGTCAAGTAAATTCGATTTCACTTATCTCAAATCGCAAACTTCCGAGATAAATTGTTTCGTCCGACTTAAAATGTATTTCTGCCATTTCCAGATGCTTGACCATTCGGTTCGATTAGAATAGCAGTGCATCAGCATTTTGCTCTCTTTTTCGAAAGTTGAAAAATAACAGTGAAAATTCTCCNTGTCTGTATCGGTTCTCCGCTGGCCTCGGAGCTAAAACAAGAAAGACGATGATCAGAACTTAATTGCTTACTAATTCCTAGCTCATTACAACTATGACTCCCGGATATTAGATAGCATGGTACATCCCTTTACCCTATAACGTACTGACGACAACAATCACCCCTCCAATTGTGTCGAAAACACGCACGAGATTAAGGTTGTTTGACGCGTTAGATTGATTATACAGAGTGAATATCAAAAACAAATACATGAGTCCGTGTAAGGATTACCAACTTCAAAGGACATTTTCTTGTAAATTGTTTCAAGACTATTCCGAATACTTGTTACGTTATTGATTAATAAATTTCAGTTTTTTTGTTTTCTAATTAACATATTAAAAATAGTATCTCATCTGGAAATACATTTTAATTTTGAGGTTGTTAACTTTTTGTTGTCAAATCTCATAAACCTTCGGTTATTTTTTACAAAACTTTCTTTCAACATTTTTCAGATATCTGCCACGTCAAGTAAATTCGATTTCACTTATCTCAAATCGCAAACTTCCGAGATAAATTGTTTCGTCCGACTTAAAATGTATTTCTGCCATTTCCAGATGCTTGACCATTCGGTTCGATTAGAATAGCAGTGCATCAGCATTTTGCTCTCTTTTTCGAAAGTTGAAAAATAACAGTGAAAATTCTCCGAGCCGAAATCCTTTAACGAGAATTAATCTTACTGAAAAATTTTATACTTATTGGTATATATTTTTTGAAGAATTTGGTTAAAATACTTAATCGTAAGTTCTCAAGCTTCTGTATTGGACCGTTATGTATGACTTAGTAGTTATTCAATCGATTTTGATTATTCTTTTATCTTTTATGAACACCATCTCTTATTTTGTTTAGTGCTTTGTCACTGTGCTATCTCTTTTATTCATAGTACAAATAAATTCCGCAGGCGATCGGTACTCAAGTCATCAGACTGGCACGATAAAGAGCGCCAGAGAAGCTTCCGGAAGTAATCGGAAATATTTCATAATACTATAGTATAAATAAGTAGTCAGCATTCAACTGATAATAAATAGTGTGCGAACAAGAAGACAGATGGTAAACTAAATGATTTTAAACCTATACGGTGGTTTGTGCATTAAAAACATATTTATATGTAGGTAAATACGAGAATTATTTAAATAATATATGTACTAGAAAAATTCGTTACAATATTCTGATTATTATAATGCCCAACACCTCCACCATAACTATTTGTTAGATGTTATGCTATTTGGTAAGTACATACCCATATTAAGTAAAAACAAAAGAAAAATGTTTTAGCAAAAAAGAAACAATCCAAAATGCTTCTAAAAGACTTAAATTTTTGTTTTTAAGTCGCGACCGTTTTATTTATTTCTAAGTACCTGAATATAAATTTAAAATTAGTTTACAGAGCCATGTTATTTTGTTAAAATCGATAAACAAGTCAATTAAGAAAGATCCGAATCGATTTTCATTGGATTTTTGTCTGACGTTTACATAACACAGTTTTGTGCAACCTTTCAAAATTAGTTAGCATTTAAATTGAGTTGCAAGATACTTTAAAATTGCACCATTCTTGGATGTATTCAAGAAAAGCATGAAAAAGTGTATTATTAATTAAAATTAATGAATGGAGTAGTTAGAGAAATCATATAAAAATACGATAAGACTAGAAATTACTTTGCAAAAAGATCCAAAATTCCTGGTCTCTTTTCAAAAGTTATTAGATGTTAAGGAATGAGCTTTTTTACTCTACTTCAGGTTCCGGTCCATCTAAAATCACTTCCAATGTTTGTACAGATTTTAATATCTATCTTTACAACATAATCGCAAAATTCTACGAAACTTTGCCACGTACTTTAAAGTGAAATATTGCTATAGTTTATAGTACGTTCGTATCTATATTAATATAGTGAATTTATTAACACTCAAAACTCGAGTTTATTACATTGTGTACTTCTACAGTGAACGAAGTTTGTATAAGTACCTATTTGGATTTTGGTTACGAGTCACTTGTTAATAACGTTTCAACTTCGGTTTAATTAGTTCCTACTTACATATTGTACATGCTGCCAGCATTGTATAGTCAGACAGGAATACATATATTTCTATGGTAGCTCGTTCAAGAACGTTATAAAGGCTATAGGAAAGATCAAAATGTTCACTTCAAACGGGATTCAGTACAAAAGGCAGAGGATGTCTATAACTTGAAATATTATTTGAAATCACAAATATCACGTGTTTGCCATATCACCATTTACTATATTGCAGAGAATATTAAATTCCTGTACATTGCACTCAATAAGAATGTGTCAGTAATATTATCAACCTTTATCGTGAATTTCATTTGATTATGAGTTTCCTAGCTTTACGGGGAAGAATAGAGAAAACGATAGAAAAAAGAAAGAGTGCGTACATAGGATTTTGTAGATTTAGAAAAAGCATTTGACACTGGAACAAAATGTTAAATATATTTAAAAATGTAGGGATGAGTTACAGAGACAGATGAATG